AATAGAAAAAGATATGTAGAAAAAGAATGTGTGAATTCGCACTCAATTTCATTTTAAGAGAACGTCACAATGTGTACGTTGAAATAAAATCGTGCGGCGAGTATCCGAACGTAGCAAGGTCACGTGAGGTTATCGTAGCGTACGCGCGAAGCTTTCACACTTGAGGCGCCCTAGCGGCCGAGCGGACTCTTTTGTTTATCCCTCTCCTCTCGTTTGCATTACGATCGACGCTCCACGCGCTGTTGGCGAGTTAATCGTTGCTAAGAAAGAAAGAGAACGATCTCAATTCCGGAAACGTGTGAGTTAGCACGTGTTCTAACTCGGCGTACGTCTAACGCTTAATACGTTTGCGTTTGACTCTACAAGATTTGACGATGTAAGTTTACACGCAAGTCGTTCTTACCCGCAGACAAGAACTGAGCGCGGAATTCAGGGCAAACGTACTCAGCGTTCTTAATTCACACACGTCGAGTAAATCTCAATGTACACGGACGGCAGATAGCTTTCGGGGCTTTTATTGCATTCCCGGTGCGTGCGCGGCGATAATGACGACATTCGGATTGGAGTGGATGCGGTAGCGGACGATCCCAATGAATGACGTCGTGAGGCGCGGGGTACAGCTGGGTCGGGGGGGAGACGGTGCGCGCGCATGTGGTTGTGGCCACCCGCGCGCGCCGCTCCGCGTCCGTGTGGTCCGAGATCCCCCCCGCCTCCTCTCCCCCTGCCCCGCGCACCACCCCGCAGAGCCCTCTATGCAAATTAGCCCGCGTAGACAACAGATGGATGGCGGAATAAACAAACCGCGTCCTTTGCGCGCCCGCGCGGGCGAACCGCGGCAGGCCACAACACGACACGACAGAAGAAATAGTAGGCGTAGGCATTTGCAACGGAAACCGGGCGACGCTGTTGCTTCAGATTTAAAGTGAAAGTCCCGATTTAGAATTGAGTCGGGACGAGACAAAAGGAAATATAGAATGTCGGTCACGGACACTAACTCTATCGGGCGGCCGGTTTTCGAAGGAAAACTAAACGCACATAGTGCGTTATTAAAGACCTCGCTGGCGTATCATTAACTCATACGATTCACCACGAAATAAACGCCCGATCACACCTACATGCGTTTCAACATTGAGTTATTTACGAATAACCAGTCCGAACTCGGTCATTAGACATAAAAACATACTGCGTTTAAATTCTTTAGATGGAAAAGGTTATCGTCTTAATGATATGTTAATGCAATAATTTGTAAGATGTGTTTATTTCGCTAAATCTTATGATATTTCTAAGTTAATGCGTGTTAAAGGCCTTCTAGGTTTAAACTTTGTAGATTTGTCGCAAATATATTTAAGTAATTTTTTTTTATTTTTTTTTAGAAAGCTTTGTATTTACAAACATTTTTGCCACAATACAGTTTTCAAAATACTTGACCGTGAGATTCAAGAAATGTTTGTTTTTGTTAAAAGACACATTGAAATAAACTGCGGTTGTGAATCGAATGATGAGCAGTTACAGTTTAATTGTACAGAGGGTTAAAATCTTGAAATTGTGCTCAAAAAATACCCACACTGAGGCACATTTGGCGCGCAGGAAGGCGTTCCCAAACAAAAGCGATCTGGACAATCTGAGCCTTCTTTTTTGTGAGTCAATAGATGTGTTGTAGGTTTTTTTAGTTTTATTGGTCGTAATTTCACGTGGGGATATTTACGGGCGGCCGCGGGCCACCTAATTAAGTTGTTAGGCGACTCCAGGACCGAGGCATTGTATAACAGAGGCGGCTTTGGTTCTGCGATAAGGTTTGTAGTGGTAATTATTAATGTATTTGTATTATTTGGACAGTAGCCGAGGCCACATAACAGTCGTTGGTGTGCCCATTGGGGATGTCTATCAATTTCCATTACCTCATGAGTATTGAGTCAGGTCGGTTGTTTGATCTTACGTTGAACTGGGAGCGAGTGGCCTAATAAAAATTAAAAACGAACGCGCTCCGCGAATGGCTGGAAAACATAACGACAGGTGCTTCGGTAAAATGTGCTCGCGACCTTTTTTAACGTTATAAGTTTTTTTTGGGATTTTTTTATGTAACAATAAACTCGATAGATAATATTTTTAACCCGTACAATGGCTCTTAATATCGAAATTATATTATTTCTTAAACATAATAAGCCACATGCTACTCTGTAAAGTGGTTTTTAATTTAAATGACTGTAATTGCAAATGCATAGTTAAGCAGGTATTAATATCAATTCTTACTAACAGACTTAAATTTTCCACATACATAAATAAGTTAAGATGTTTATTTTATCTGTATTCATTAATGACTCGGACCACCCGAGCGATTGAACTAGCGGAAACGGACAGTTATATTTTGTTTCCGTTCCTTTGTTTATTTTTGATATTTTATGATAATGGAACATACATAATTATGGCTCAGTCGCTTATTTAGCAAGAAAAAAAAGCGTTAACAACTACAAAGCGTCACCATACCACCACTTTCCCTTCAAAACCATTCCACTATTGCTCGAGAGTTTTTATTTTTTGCTAAAAACGAATGTAAACTGGTTAGATTTTTTTTATATTATTGCTCGTAAAAAATATCGTAGCTATGACGTGCGTCAATAGCCTCATTGAAATCGCCCACGGCACAGACATTGTTCCCGGGACGGACGCCCGCATAGGATACAAGCGCATCCTCCCCCGGTAAATAGAGTTCCGGGATCGTCGCCGCGTATGGAAATATCATGCGAACAATACGTCAGCGTCATTCACGAAAGCCGGACATGATATATTGATGAAGGCCAATACTATATCGTTATACAATATGTTACCAAAGGAGAATTGACTTCTTTAGAGAATTAAATAAATGCAAAATACAAAATCTTTCATGCTTCTAAAAAAAAATTAAAATTAAATTGAAAATTATAGGTAACAACTCATTAACGGTAAATTTCATTGCTTAATATCGCGCAGAATTCTGACCAATTTAATTTACAATTGGAGATAATAGCAGACACAAACAAATGAAATAACGCTCGTCCGCAACACGTAAAACTCGTGCTAAGATAGTAAGTGATCTACGTCACCCATAAGCACGCAACACCATCGTGTGATAGATTCGTTGCCGTCCAGAAAATAAAACAATAACGTATTAAGCGCTCAAAACTCTTTGTTACACAACTGGTCACTTGCGCTACCAACGCACGACGATTAGATAGAAACCAAAGTACGGGATTGGGCAACGGACCTACCACGTTCGGCGGGCCGACCGGCGATAAATCCACTGGGGGACCCAAAAAGGACCAAGTGCCCAGCAATTCCGCGGACCCGTCCGATCGATAAGACCACGCCGAGGGCCCAAAACAATGTTGCAGTGACAACGCGGGCGCTGATCGATCGGCGGCCCCCCTTTTATTTATGCGAACCCTAACAAGCTCTTTAAGCAGTCACGGTTATGATTAATGCGCGAATTAGCGGCCTCGTATCGGGCAAATTGCGGTGCGACGGACGATAAATCGTTTCTATTAACGCTTAAACGGACGGTAGGTATTATTTAAATATAGCAGCGACGTGTTGATTTAAAAAAAAAATGACGCCGGGACGTTCGGCTTTGATAGATTTACAATTGAAAAGACTGACTAAAATTGGCAAAATTATTATTTTTATGGGGGGATATTCATTTGTTTTCTCGTCTGGTTGGGTTTATAAATAAAAATAAAAATATAGATATATATTGCATATATTAAACATATATTATGGATAAAAATAAACATATATATAAATATTTTATATAATACATATATAAATAGGACCCAACCAGACGGAAGCCCTTGGCAGGGGAGACCAAACGGCCGAGGGTTAGGGCGAAAGGGAGAGAAACCGGCGGAGGATGCGGGCGGTATCGAGGAGCACCGCCTTCTGCATTTGAGCTTGGAGCGATCCGTCCCGGAGTCCCAGTTGCCTCAGATGTTTATTATTATTAGTATTAAAAACTCTTGATGACCTGATTGGAGAAGTGTATAGTGAAACTGCTTCTTGCAGCAGAGGGTGTGAGGTCGACTGTCACTATTGGAATAACATTTTTTAATGAAAATAATTTTTTATTAGTACCTCGGTTCAATATCTTCATCATACATTTATTTACAAAAAAGTATTTTAGTAAGTTTGTCAGTAACTTCCCCACTATCCATAGCAGCTTCGCTTACTTTGGGGCTAGATAACGTTGTCTACAAATTAACCTTAAAACAAACGATGACAAACGGAGGAGAAAAAACAATATTTTGTCCTTAACTTTTAATATAAAGTTATGGCTAAACGTGTAATTATATGCGAAATTAAAAACATAAAGTGAATTTTTATTTTAGTGTGCTGTAGGTACGCAACTAAATTGTCTGTTTGCAAAAATGTTTAAGTATATTATGTCACATAATGTATAAAATTTCCATAAACTAAGCATTTACTAAGTAGTCACAAAATAAAAGTGCAAACCAACTCGATGATTATAACGTAAATGTTGTTAAGTGAGAAAGAGTGTACTGTCTGCCGTCGTCGAATATAAACTACAATATTATACGCAATAAAAGACAATATGTTATTGTAATTAGCATTTGAATATCACATACTTCCTGCCAATCAAAGGGGCCGTCGCGTTGGGCCGCACGTATCGCTCGTAAAGCGGCTTCTGTCAACAATTATCCTTTCGCTGGGTGTGTTATTGATACGCGTACCGGACGCCTGGTGTTGTTGACGAATTACAATTCGCCGATACGTCGACAGAGGGCCCAATGTAGCGCGGCGCGTCCCTTTGTCACGATACGATGCTCCACGCGTCGCGTACAGACGGAAGCGGTGCCGTACGTGCCCCTCGGCCCCCCATTGATATTCCAGAGGATGCGAACTGTCACGACGCTATCAAGATGGGCGCGCATGGCCCCCAGATCGAAAGCGCCCGATAGCGAGAGTACAGTACGCGCTAGATATTTCCGTTTGGCACTCCCCGCACGTACCTTGCACCCAGAGTTGGTCGACCCTGGAGTGGATTTGCGCGGACTTGAGGCCGACGCAGAAGGTGGAGAGGACGAGGATCGCGACGAAGAGGACCTTCCCGGCGTCGCCTTGCAGGAAGCAGCCGAGTATGAACAGCTGCTCCTGGAGCCAGGCCCGTATCCAAAGCGATGTCCGACCGCCCTCAATATTACCCTGTTAAGAGAAGAACACGTATTAATAACAAAAAAAAAAATAACCGAAAATAATTACATATCCAGCCCACAAGTTCCCGTAGTTAGTAACTTCGAATTTGACAAAAATCGGACAATGAATAACTTTTGGTGGATTACTTACGCAAAAGCAATATAAAAAAATAATCAAAACAATGAATCTCATAGTAAAGTAATCACATATTTATAAGAAGTTACAAAATAACATAATTATTGTTTTACATATTATCACATGATCACATAATGCGAGCTTATGGAAGACCATAACATTGTCAATGTCAATATGTATCTATTGTCAACATTTTCACCGTTTATTTTCGAATTCTGTGAAAACGTTTCATTACACTAAGCCGTACAATGAATTGGCAGGCAGGTAGGAATACGCCATTCAATTGTAAACTTTAAAGAACATTTATCTATCAGAAAGAGGAAACAAGCAAAATTCCGCGCACCAAAGGACATTTTCAAGCTCGACGCTAAGCTCGAGACAGAAGCGGGCCTATCGCGATATCATTGAATATTACAAGCATCGCAGCTATCCGAGCCGCAGCGAACGCTTTGTCGGTGAATGTAATAACATCGTCCGTTTTAAACGTCGGTATAATTTCTCGGTTGATTGTGATTAATGACGCGCGCGGGCGGGGTTGGCGCCGCAGTGGGCCCGTGGACCCGACGCGACTCAGCCGCCCGATTATCTACCTATCAATCGTGTACGGCCCGCGTAGCTACGGATAGAGGCCGTAAACAAAGCCGACGTAGTAAACACCGGCCCACAAACTTTTGAAGGCGAATTGTTGCATCCACAAACCTCTATAGTAATTCCCACTCCTCTTTCAAAATCTTCTTTTAACTCTTTCCAAATCAAGCTTCTACCGATAAACTGACATTTACGAATAAAATCTCTTATTAATAAAGTTTGTTACCGACGTACCTACGACGTACGATCTGCAAATCCTGGAGTCCCTTCATCCAAGTAGTTCTTGATGTAAAGAAATCTTTCCGCCTTAAAGATATTTTTAAGGGTCTCCACATTTTTTAACAAAAATAAGCATAAAACAGTGACAGACACATGTGACAGATTGTCTTAAAAATAATCCCAGAAACAAATCTCATCATAAAGAAAAAAAATTGTCACATTCCACGGGTTTTCTTCAAAGAGCTCACAGAGAAACCGATCAGATTCAGATGTTAAGGACTAAACTTCATAACTTATAACGAGGAATCAGCGATGCAAAACGCGTTGGGTGTTCTCGCCTATAAAATTATAATTTTTAAGAAGAAGAAGTAGAAACGTTTTATACTATAATAATGTAGTAACATTTTCAAACAAAAGATATTCAGCGAAAGTTTACAAAGATATTTCTTTTTCCTTAAATTTAAAATTAGTAAAAAACCTCCGTATAAATACAATTATGGACGTCAAACATACGGCCATGTGCATAGGTCAAGTTTTAAGACGAATTATAAAAATGTCACTTAGGGTACAAATCTCCTATAAAAAAATTTAATTGGAATACCGAATATTGATTCAGAACTGGTGAATGTTCAACTTAGATACTCTGACTCTGGCAGTTTAGAGGAACTAGTGGTGGCTCGATAAAATATCTGTTCCCAACTATTTGGCGCTCAAAAAAATACCTTCATCGTCCTTGCTCCACATATCCTAAGGGCTAAATCGAGATACTGGACGTGGAGTTATGCAGAATGCAATACAAACGTAACTGGCAACACCAAAACAATGTCTGAAGCGTCGAGGGCGTAATGCAAAAAGCATTTGAGGGGGGATAGGAAGAAAAAACGACGCTCGTCCGCCCGCTGTTACATAATGGAGGCAGGGATCGGAGAAGACTGTGGCGACTCGTGAAGCGACTGCTAATTACGGAATAATAACTCTATTGTGGCATCGCATTCGACGCGAACCCACAGTACGCGTCAGTCTCGCAGTGTAACCTACTTCATTTGTAACTTTTAACAGAACAGGCATAAAAAAATGTTCACGCTATTATGAAATCATTACGCTTTATCTGTGCTATAATGTTACGAATCTTTTTCTTGTTCAAACTGCAGGCTTAAATCAAAAATTGATTAAGGAAATAATACTAAAGAGCTTTTTTATTTTTATGCATATGAATGTTCTTCGTAACTAGCCTGTTCAAATGTAATTCTTCGGTTATGTTTATGTATTCCTCAATATTTTGTGCCCGTTCATATTACAGGACAAGAGTATTGGCATTATTCGTAACATATTTTCAATATACAAAACACAAAGTTAACGTTGCCCTACCAGAACTGTCGGATAGTGTTCCGTCGCCTAATGAAGTGTTATGGCACAATCAGCCTCGAAAGAGAATCGCCCACAAGCTAGAGTTTAAAAGCTCGTTAGCGATTTATGTTAAGCAGAGGTTTATTTCCAATTGATCGTAGGCAGGTCAGTCGTTAAACGGCGGTCGAGTTCGCTGAACCGGCCGCGGCGTCCGCTCGCCGAAACCAACTCGTTACTTCGGTCCGGCTGGGGCATAAATAAATAAATCGTAGCAACAATATAGTGGCAGATATAGCTGGGGACGGTGCGTTTCGGGTACGGTGGACGCCGCGCTGGGTGGGCGTGACGTCACGGACGGAATGCGCCCGCGCTCCCTCCCCCCGAGACCCCACACCCCTGCTCCCTCCACGTGTCCAACACAACCGCTCTCCATCACCGTATACTCGTATCCTCCATTCATACCAACAGACTATAGTAAGCCGGGCAAGATAACCAATGCTGAGTAAAAAATGTGCAAACACTTATCAGGCCTAATAAATTCGAATTTAGAATCATAATTGCTTCTAGGTAAGGAAGTTTTAAGTTTCAATCGAACGAAGGTCTTTCTATTGGAGGTTGCGTCAACAAGTTCAAAATTCGAATTCAGAATAATAAGTTTCAATCGTAGAGAAATCCGCAACGGCAGCGTTGATATTTTGTAGGTTATATCACGACTGTGTTCTGAAGAGCGCGCGATAAATTCTGCCGGCGGGCTCGAGCGGGCGTCTGACGCAAGCGTCACGGCATCATGCGGCCGTAATCCGCGAGGCGAGCGCCGCGCCGGCCGCGCTTCCCGTGATAACGCCGCCCCGCGGTCACGGTCTCCTACCTGGCGCCTAGATATTATCATCGCACACGCACCATCCCGCTCGGCAATAAAATTATAAGGCCATAGTAACAATCATCGTTCAACTTTACCAGTTTTGCGTTACTTTTGACTGTAAAGGTTCATTTATATAACAATGCATTGATTGTATAGTAACGAACGGATTTAATACTAATTGAGTGTTTGATCAAACAAAATTGACACCCCTAAGTGTCGCCGTTAGTCTATTAAAAATTAAAATGTAACGTTCCTAAATACGTACGGACTTATAATCAGTTTTAAAAAAATGTCCGCCATACGATAGAAATTCGGTTTCCAAAGATCTTAAAGCGGATACACGCGCGTTATTAATACAATTGGAATTATGTAAACGCGTCCGTTTATCGTTTGACAGGAAACGGGTGATAAATTTAGAAATGGTAGCCGTTTGCCGGCCGACTTTGTCACTTTGACTGTTATCGGGGGTCACGACCGTATGTAATGGACGTCACGATTTGATTGCACCCTAATGGGCCACGGAACAGTTTTTGTTTTCATAGTGTAAGTCGGACGGAACCATCGCACATAGCATAGCTTGATATGACAGCCAAGCCGTGTATAGATAGCGATTAATCAATGGAATCGGGCTGATACAAATGCAGTTCGTCAGAGGCGGATATTTTATCCCGAGGTTAGGTAACACAATATTGAGAGAATAACTCATCACTACAGCATTCGCGCTATAATATTTATGTAACATTTTCTTCATTTTATCACTAGCTGTTAAATTTGACTTCGTCTGCGTTTCAGATGCGTCGACCAATTGGCCTAGCCTATACGTCGATTTATGGTTGACTAAACTCGAGGGCTCCCGATGGAGCCTCTGCTTGGACGGTTACGCTATTATTGTTATTCTCACCGGTTTGGGTGGCCACCAAGCTCTGAGGGCGCTTTAGCGGACGCTCCGTGGAGTGACTAGGCTCAAGGAGCCCCTGAGAGGGGACCTGGGCTTTAGCCGTTCAATACCCGTTTAGCGTTCCGATTCGGGGTGTACGAGAGGGTCGGACCTCGGCTCGATCGGTAGTTATAGTCTTACTGAGGGAATTTCTAGATATATCATTACTACTACTTCGGAAAGCGTTGGCGCTGGGAAAGGAAGTGACAGAAGAAACTCCAGCAACGTTTCTATCATTAACGGGGGAAACCTGCCAGATACGTGGCGGAACCTAGTATACGTTTGCCATTATGGTGATGGCTGCGGCCTGAAGGCGTCGATGGCCACCCACCAGACAAAACGGGGAAATAGAATAATTCAACTGTACGCCGATCTTCCACGAAGTCATAGTACCGACCGGACCTGCCCGTTCGTAAACAGCGAAAACTGTTACGTGGTCCTACCTCACTTATGAAAAAGTCATAACACTGTATAAATCTAAGTGAGCGCCATAAGTGCTGAGTCATTGGTTTTATCTTTATATCAGTGCTTTTTTTTTTCTTTTAAACGAGCAATTCTTGTATACATACATATATATATATATATGTATACATGTATATATATTATGTGCGTAAATTCGGGGGCCCAAAATCGATCTAGCTAGGTTTCATTTTTAGGAAATGTCCCTGTTTTCACGGAATGAAAAATATCATTCGAACATGACGGTAAATTTCGCCGCAAAAAAAAAAAAATAGTTCGGTCGACAATCCGGCGGCCCTTGTTTTGATGCGTACTATTAATTTTTTCAGTTGGGCTTGTAGCTAAGTAAGAGCTTATCTGTAACCCCAACTCATCTTTTCCTTCGTTTGATGATGCTAGTCTTCAGTTTCACCTATTTTATGCTTTAACAATCACAAATCGCGCAGAATGAATAGATTTATTACTAGATCGGACTTCCCACCACTGTTATCACTATCTGCAGTATTAGTCCTATGACTACTGCCGTGGCTACGCTAGAACTTCACCTTTATATAGAATTATCTATAGTGCGCAAGTCTCTGCTAAATATTTACCGCTTCAGTAATCTCTGCATCAATGGCATTTTGGGCTGTCTGGGCATCTGCATATAATGCCCGTAGTTGTGTAAACCTTCGAGGTTCCCTACTACCGATCACCCACGAAGAACGTTTCGCTTCAGCCGCTTGAATGTTCACATTTCACACCGGTTTCGCGATTCAATTACAGATTACATTGAATCTACTGTGACCTGTGCCTGGGCAATACCATTACGATACATTACCAGATTTGCAGAGAAAGGATTTATCTCATCATCCAGTTTTTATAGTTCGAATGATCACGTTTATAAACGAACAAAGTAAATACATTGGAAATGGTTTTTAGGTCCTCCATTGCAACTTTATTTTTAATTTTTTTGTTAAGTATAACTATATATTTGCACTTATTTGTAAAATTGTTATTAATATTACAACTTGGTACTGTTACAAAAATTGACATCGATCAGATTATGAGTTATCCACATTTTTCATTCTATAAATGGACCTCCAAGGGCATTTGAGGTGTTTGGTCAATTGGCCAGTTGGCCAGCTACATGTTTTTAATGTCAATGACATCAGTCTCTTGCACTTTAATCACCAAAACAGTACAATAAACATTCACTAAGAACATTAAAGCTTGATAAAATGATGATTATCAAGATTTTTATCGATTTGCGATTAATAATAATAATAATATAATGCGGTTTGTGTCATTAAAACGAAGTAATTTATTAACAGAGACAGTCTAAGAATTATATCAGTAACAAGTAGTCAAGATTTATACAAAATTCATTTACGCCAATATTCTATAAGCGGCGAGAACTAGCGGAAAATAACTTATGATTTCGAGAAAGTTGGCAAATTAATGAAACCGGTCTGGGCGGCCATATACTAAACGATTTATCGTATGGACATACTTGGTTACTAGTATAATATTAAAAGGTGATCGTCACCTCGTGCTGCCGGAGAAGTGTGTATCGAGAGACATATGGACATATCTGATGACTCCGTGGCACAGTTGCCAAGGTATTGGCTTCGGCGTGGGGGTCGTGGGTTCGATTCCCACACGGGACAACTATTTGTGTGATCCACAGGTAGTTGTTTCGCATCTGGGCGTTTGTCCGCGTGAAATTTATGTTTGTAAAACGTCCCTACAACACAGGATAATGTTATCCTAAAGTAAGGGCAATGTTTTAAAAATAAAAAAATAAAAAAAAAATATGGTGCATAGCTACTCGGTCGGAAGCTAAGGGCAACGGTGGGGAAGATATCAACGAACGCACTCATGCGTGTAGTTGTCACGCGTTGTACCAGTGGCCAAATAAGCCACTGACGCAATCCGATATCATCATTTGAAACAGCACACGCGACCTACGGGCGCAACAATGCCCTAGAACATTCCATACGTTTACGTATACTACGACACAGACTAAAAATGCACGCTCAAAAACAAACCATTACATACCTCAATGAACATGTGTTTCTTTGCACGTCGAAATCAAAAATGGAATGAACGGACGCACGTTTTATTTATAAAAATACTCAAAAACAATGTGGGCTAACTCACGATTAACTTATTTTCCGTGGCCGAAACAATCTGAGGCCGATCGATGCGAGGAACGCTTTTCGAAAATCGTGGGTGTAGTAACAATCATTTATAGGTCTCCGGCGCAGCTGCCGGCCGCCGCCACGCTCAGTGTTTGGAGGAAGATGCACTTATACGGGAAACGTGAGTTGGAACGAGACGGGGTGGTGCACCTTGAAGAAAGGGAAGGCGCCAGTCCCTATGGCGGGAAGAAAAGAGATGTGCGATCGGAAACCACAAGATGTCTCAATTCCGAGAGCCGAGCTCTGTGGGGTCTTCGTGACGTATGAAACGTTTAGAAAGGGATTCAGACAAAAATTCTCATGGAGAGCTCAATAAGGAGAGAATTAGTTGAAAAAAGGAAATAACTTTATGCCTCTGATAATTTCAACATTCTTCTAGGTATAATGGTGGAACGACTCTTCCACTTTAGTGCAAGGGACAATAGTGGTAGGTATGTTATAGTAGGTGTATTAATATCGCGATAGATAAGAGGCTAAAGCACGTGGTTCCTTAATGAAGTGGTTTCTATTTACGAGGTAAAATTTATCCTAAGTACAAGATGCCCCATTCTGAAATTCACTAAATTCAAATCACACATATCGCTCTAAGAGAACGTCATACTATCTGTCAATATCATAACATTGATGCGGCTTTTATTATTGAATATCTACTCTAGTAGAGCGAATGGCATACATTCTACGTTGATGTCTCCATCGCGCCGAAACGGTGCGCGTGCGCCGCGCCTCTTCTGGGCTTTAATTGCTTCATCTTGCATACATACGACCGAAAAACATTAAGACTTCCCATTATTTTATTTATTACAGCTATTTAGCATGCAGTTATCAGGGAAGGATACATGTGCCTGTGTGAATATAATTGTGCAAGACTGAGCAAATTTTTACACGATAGTCAACCGGTACGTTACAATACGTCAAGTAATTATGTGAAACAAAGTAACACGGAATGTTCCTGTGATTGATGTTCTCTTTGGTTTATTCTGTAAGAAGATTTACACAGAAACATAAGATGTAGCATTGTAGCTATTGTTTTAAATATTCTTTTAAAGTTTGTCGGAAAACCTAGGTTTATGATCCCGCATCAATTAATTAACGTAAATCGGCTGTATTTTTTTTTCATTTCAGTTCTTTTGAGAGCCCGAACGTTTCGCAAAGCTTCCTAGCAAGGGTTCGGACCACCGTGGGGCGTGCGTGCGGCCTTCTAGGAAAGAGCTACCTTCCTGGAACCCGTCTGCCATTCTGTTTGTACTCTACTCAACAATTGACACTCACTACTTACAAAATAAATATACTTCTTATGTTTATTATCTATATTATATATATTACCGAAACCGATGGAGGTATTTGAAGCGCACAATCTTCTTAATATTTATTTTAGAAATCGTACACAACAAACAATACAAAATATGAAACAAATTTTTAAATACCTACTACGTGAAAATGTTAGCAGTATTCGTGAGTCACTACTTCAGTTTGTGCAATTTTATAGCAATGAACACAACTTTAATACAAATAATGTTGTTAAAATTTAAATGTTTCCAATCTTTTTATAAGGCATCAAAGCTCGATATTTGGGAGTAAAAGCTCGCAAACCGCGAAATCGTCTCCTTGAAAGCTTTGAAATGCGCGCGGCCTTCATAGTACGCAATTCGGCCGCCAGTCGGCGCCACTCACCGCTGCCGCGTTCCCGAATGCGATTGACATTCGCAGAAAAACAATCACACGTGCATTATGACAATCGCAATTTGACACTAGGGTATAGTATAACGAGTGATCGGTGCACCTTTTCGAGTTCGGAGAGGGCCAGAGCCGCGTCCACCCAGCTCGTGCGTATATAAAGGTCCGCGCTGTGTCGCGCCTCGGCGGCGGATGGGCTCTCGTGCGCAGCAGCTATCCGAGGATTCGAAGGAGCCTCGGAATCGGGAGCCACCATGATCTCGGGGCCAGACTTGTCGCCAGTATCCTCATGAAGACGGCCGGTATCCGTCTGGCGGCGCACGCTGTCATATCACTCGCCGCCACATAACCACCACACTTTTACACCCTGATCCCTCACTTCTGTTTAGCACTTAACCATTCGAAATACGGAGCGGGGCCGTATTTTCTGCGACACCGGAACGACGTGTCTATACTGGCGCGGCCCGGGCAATACTGAGTCAAACACGGCCTGCATAGATACACTGACTGTTTGTCGAGCTGCCATCATGATTCGGTCGATTATGTTGCCGTTCTGGGGTACGGAGACGCCCGAGTCGCGGCGTAAACTCACGAAGCTTTACTCAGAGGACCACACACGTGATTTTCCGTCTCGCTCTAACGCTAAGAGGAGGTAAGCCGAAGCAGTAAAATAAAAACATTGAATGAAACAGCTCGCAATGATCTGCCAGATTGCCACCGGTTACATATGGGTTACGCACTGCCTTGACAAATTGTTGTAAATTGTCAGTACGTTCAGACAATTCAAACATTAAGTTATGTGTATGTGTTCATGTGTGCTATCAAAGTAGCTAGAACAAATTAAGGCAGTATGAACAATGTTCATATTGTTCATAAATATTTTGAGGGTGTCCAACCCAAAGCTATGTTTTCCAGTATCGTACTCAGTACCTCAGTGAACTTTTAACATCCGCAGAATAACCACAAACAGAGGGCGTTTTCAAGTTAAACATTATCTCTGTATACAGATAATAAAGGCGGATCAAACATTCGGACGCACCATATCATTTTGTTTACAGAGTTTTCTGAGTAAAAACTTGAGAGAACGCGCCCCTGGCGGGGCGGCAGGCGGCTTCTTTGAAGATGCCGACATTAAAAGACGCCGGCGGTGATTTAACTAATGAATTTATTTAGCGGGCGTGCCGAGAGAGGGCCGCAGCGTCCTCAACCACTACAGATAATATACGTCTATGAAAATTTAACGAAATCGTTAAATGGACCCCACGTCATTTTGAATTTTGTCTAGTTAAAAAGACCAATCCACCATAATTATTGGTTTTTCTAAAATTACGCTTTACTATTGCTTGTTTACCTTACTTCAACATAGCTTAACAGAGTTGAAATGAGATATTATCACTCGGTGGTAAATATTTCAACAAGATATTGAAAAAAACCTTCACCTCAAACAAATAAATGCAAGAATTGATTATAACCAAGTAGATAATGCCACTGCTACGAAATAATTTTCCAAAACGAGCAAATGTCATAATCCTTGATCGATTGTAATCGATTACAACAATGTAATCGCCCAAAGCTGCCTTTGGGCAAGCTCTGACAATGGATTAGTATGTCGGGGGAAACTTGACGACAACTCGATTTCACAGTGCAACCTTCCAAGAAGTCCTGGAGGTGTAAACGATTCTATTGAATCCGATTTTCGAGAAAAAACGCCGTCAATACTTATAGATTTATCCCTTGATATTAGGTACCGCGAGGAACCCGACGTAGTCTTAAAGTCTCATTTGACTCAAAATCAACTTAATGCGTTGAGCACATGATTGACTTTGGTGTGACGGAACCTCAGTTCGAGGTATAGTTTTCTGTACTCCGGGGTGGCTTTGCTCGGACATTTTGACACTTCGGTCGAAAACCCAGCGGGGCGCCCCTCTATAGATGTTCTACGAACTCCGTGTGGGATACGTGATTGAGACCACAATGGAACATTTCAATTATAAATTATATACATTAACTTACCAAATGGGTGTTTTACTTTAACCGAACATCATTCAAATATTTACGAGCTTCCAAAATTCGACTTTATAATTTAATTTTTATGTCGCGACTGTTACGTGACTGTTAATAAAGTCTGATTGCACTGTTTAATCGCCGACAGTCAAATGTCAAGTGTCCTATTGTATTGTGATTTTGTTTAAATTTATGTCCGAATAAAACTTTGTACATGTATCGTTTAATATTCATGAGTTTTGAAGTTTGACGAACCCTTTGTTAAACCATCAGCCAAACTGTAGATTCTTTATGTATTCTGTCTGCAACCTTCGACTACATTTCATGCCCCAGATTAATTAAGTACTTTTCCCGGTATTCGGCGACTGACAATTACGAATGTCAATTAATTTCGAGTGATTTCTTTTCTACACCACCGATCTCCCTCACTGTGACATTCAGTGAGATATTTTTAATGTGAAAAGTTGTCAAGCAAGAGGACAGTTCACCTGATTTCGAATGGATACCGCCGCCCATGGACATCTACAACACCCGATGGCTTTCTGATGCGTTTAAAACCTTTAAAATGTGGGCCCCATTTACCACCCACCGGCGAAACGCCAAAGTTTAATACTTCTACTTCACGCCGGTCTTCTGTGAGGCGTTACTTACCCAGACGAGCCTATTTGCAAGCCTATACTCAACAGCATAAGCTGTTGCGTGGCCCCTAGTGAATTACCTTATAGCTCTGAAATACTCAACTTAAAACTGAAATAATAAGGTAAATTTATTAACACTTACTTATTCGTTAATATCAAAAACTTATAAATACCATTTTATTTTTCTTTGTAACGAATCTAAGCTGGTGCTGTTTAACCTCATTACGTATATTTTACTTTATATATATACTTTAGTTAGTAAAAGTAAAAAATAGGCTGTAACACCAGTTTCCCCGATTCTTCACTCAGTAATTCGAACCGAAAATGGATGATAATATAGGTACATAGTTTGTGACACCTGGGATCGAGTTTGGAAATTTAAATATTGCGTTTACATGTATGTAACTATTAAGTGTATATTTCCTACAGAAAATACTCGACTTAAGACATTACATGTCTCCGTGGTACAGTTATTGCCTAGTTATTTGCTTCGGTGCCGGAGGTAGAGGGATCGATTCCCACACTGAACATCTATTCGTGTGACGCACAGATAATTGCTACTCGAATCTAGGTGTTCGTCCACGTGAAATTCATGTATGTAAAACGTCCTTACAACAGATCGTACAGTAAAAGCAATATATTTAAAAAAAGACCTTTGTTAACTTGCTCGCTACTTAGTCGGATTTGTTTTTTTTTTTTATGTGACAAAGTGGCAAACAAGCTGGCGGTTCACCTGATATTAAGTAATAACCGCCGCCCATGGACAATTGCAATACTGATAGGGTTGCAAATGCATTGCGAACCTTTAAATAAAGTGGGACCCGGCTAACTCACTCACCAGAAGAAAAACAGAAGTGTAACACTTCTACTTTACGTCGGTCTTCTGTGAAGTCGTGGTACTTACCCGGACGGACCTGCCTATTCGTGCAACAATGTTGCGTGGCCCTACCACCGCGAAAATGATGGTATGATTTTGTAGAACCTCTTCGCTAATTTTTGAATAACCAAAAAGAATAAAGTATTTTTTCATTAATGGCGAGTTTGATTATGGAATGAGTTTCCATTTTTTTCTACTTTTTCGCGCATTTAGGAAAAATGATAAGAGTTAAATTTTACGATGCGTGACACCTAAAAGCGATAGCAATTTCATGGTGTTACTATGGCAACCATTAACACCTTTTTGACATGTACATCTATGTTATTTTATTGAAACCATTATCAATTGCATTTAATGTCTCTTTGCACAAACACACTTACTGGCACACGGGATAAAATATTTAGTTAATTTTCTTTTTTTACGCTAAAGAAGTATGTATAACTTCTGTATATGCATACATAAGTACACGCACACGTTTTTTTTAGCATTACATTATCAATACGCCACCTCTTTAGACCTTAAAAATATCGGTGAAGTAATTACCGGTTAATTACTTCACCGAGATTTTTAGGGTGTAATGTGGATGTTGAAAAGGAATGTATGTAAATATACTGCTTATACTGTTATTCGTACTCATTACATATAAGTTAATGTCAACAAGTCAGTCAATTTTATTAATAAAGACCTGAATTACCATGGGAGGAATAAAACATATTCGGAGCGCGTTAAATTTCGAGACTCTATTCCCGTGATTGACGAAATATTTTGTACCTGACATTTACATAGCTAAGGCGCAATAGTTCCCGTGGTCACCTTGCCAATTGCCTGCAAGCCTTGTTGCGGCTTCGATACTCAGGCGAAAGTTTTGAGCTCCGTAAACAGTTTTTCCGAGGCTTGTTCACACCGTGGTCACCTTCGCGAAGACATGGCCGTAACACTCTAGTGTGGTTAATTTGGTTACACGGAACATATTCGAGACTTCGCTTATTATTTATATCGACTGAGTGAAACGAGTTTCAACGCGGTGCGACGGGGAGACGCCTAAGCCGCAACCCTGTTTACTAATCAGTCAAAATCGCAGCCGACAACGGCGACGCATCGGGCATACGAACGAACGGCCGCCGCTTTGCCATTCCGATCAGTGATTGGGATCCGCTTAATAAAATTGGTGAACTGCCGCCGTGACAGGCCCGACGTTGACGGATTTATGGCGCACGCTGCACCGGCCCGTCTAGAATTCAATCCTGCCGACGGCCACGGAGCGAGAGCCGATGGAACCGACAAAACGTACGCGTTTACGTTCAGCTGGAACGGTTTTAATACGACGGCGATACAAAAAACCGACAAAACGATTTGAACAGTTTTATTTTGTCGATTAGGCAAATGGATATAGTTAAAGTTGACGAGGACACTTGTCATACAACACGAACACAACACATTGAATGAAACCACGTTTCGCGACCTAGAGTCTTAATAAACCTTGAAAAAAATTCAAAATAAAATTATTGAAGTATTATTTCACTACTCCCACTTTAACCTCAACCAAAAATCGTGTAAAGAAGCAAAATTACTAAATATCACACAACTTTACATTTATTACGCCTCCATAGTAAATAACAGCATTATGTGCTACTACTAACATTCACTCAAATATTTAATTTGATAAAATAAATATGTACACACAATCTTTAAATAGTATAAAATAAAGTCGCTCCCGATGTTTGTACGCTTAGATTTTTTAAACCTCGCAAACATTTTTATTTGGGTTTTCAGCAACTAATAGAGTGATTTAAGCGGTAGGTTTACATGTAGTATACATTCATATTATAGTAGAGAAAAGCTGAAAAATTCAATATAACGAGCCAAGGCGGGTCACTAGTTTAGGATAAATTAAAGCTAATTAATGCATGTTCAAACTTTACAATAAATGCCATATTATATCAATCATATTGACTTTTCCGATAGTAGAAATATTTTCAAATGAAAACTAAGATACTAAGATGTACAATGCGTCTTTTAATATTGCATTCCAGAGGTGCAAAATATAGAGTTTTATATTATTTTCCAGTACCTGTAACTATTTTTAACCATAATCTGAGGATTACCTGAGTATTTAATGTCGGTATTCAACCTGAGACTGAACTGAGAAATTAATTTCCTGCTTTTTGATGAATAGTATCGCTCTAATTTTTTAACAAATTCAGGGATAAGTAAGTAAGGAACGACGGGAGTTGGTGCTCAGGTTTTCAAATTCATATTCAAATAGACGCTTGCCTGCTCTTATGAAACGTCGAATTCTCCCTAAGAATAAATTTAAAAGACAATCTTTATTGATCTAATATTTACAAGATTAAATCTATCTAAAATTACATATTATCTAATAAACCTAATCCACGCGGCATGGTGCCAAGAACGCTAGCTGCATTTCCTCGCTGAATAGTTATGCTCAACCTTTGCGCGAGAAAAGAACCAGCTCTAAGAATTAATACATAAGTTCGTAATTAAGTTACCACCGGTTCGGCAAGCAGTATCTCTTGAGAAGAGACCGGCAAGAAACTTAACAGTTGCCCTTTTTCAAAAATATCAGGTAACGATATAACATGGTACAGGTACAATAGACTTATTTTAGCCTACGTGATCAACAGTATTAACTCCCCACATTGGCGTCGTCGAGATATTCCGCAATGGTATGATATGCTTTAACCATAAGTTTACTTTTAATTTTGTGTTTAAATTTATCAAGTGGAAGACTTAATAACGACTGTGGGATTTTATTATATATGCGCACACTTTGCCCCATGAATGACTATTTTAGTTTGTTAGTTTGTCCTTATTTATAGTGTTTAATTTATGTCTGTCACCATTTTTTAGGTAATTTAATGCCTTTACAAAACTTAATTAGCATACTCTAATCTGGATACGCAATAGCAATTAGTATTCGGATGGATATCGTAAATGCAGTTGCCATTGGCAAGTCAGCTTGGCAAACGATCCAACCTGTCGGAGGCCTAAAAGTGGTCTAAACACAATACATTCCCCAAATTAGCTTCATCAATTAGGCCAACAGCGCAAGTCTCATTAGAATACACGAGCTACATGAATGACGCAAGCCGTCTACGTACTTTCCGATGGTCGTCGTAAAACAGCAACAGGCCAGGTGATGAATACCGATAACTTACGACTTATGCGTGGGGTGACAATTGGCAACCGCATTATGGCTTGCAACTTTAGGTACCTACACGGAAAAAACGAAACAAAGAACAATTTTAATATATTTTATGTAGTTTATGGCATTCTTTTTACAAAACTCCGGCGGCAGCGTAATTCTTTCCAAACTAAACAAACAACAGTAATTTTTTTATTTAAATTTAATTATTGAGATAATTATCAGATTTCGTTATTTTTCTTTCACGTTACATATTAAGACGGTCTACACACTAAAATTCTGCGGTGACGAACTCTACTCTGTACAACATTTTGATAACAGATTAGTGTGCTTATTCACATTGAAAATATAAACGAAAATATAAAATGTGATACTTTATTACAATTTATGTAAGTATTTGTAACATGTATTATATTATATATAACTTTAACACTTCTTCACCTCAATTAAGATAAAGGTTATCAAATGTCAAATCTCATACTCGCAAGTGCGAGTAATATTGGTATTTAAAAAGTGATATAACTCCACTCAGTTTACCTATTAATAAATAGACATTAGCTGCTCGTTTATAAATATACTAGCGACCCGCCCAGGCTTCACACGTGTGAAATGTATTAAACATATAAACCTTTCTTTTGAATCATTCCACCTAGTAAAAAAAAAACCGCATCAAGATCCGTTGCGTAGTTTTAAAGATCTAAGCATACATAGGGACAGACAGCGGGATAACTTTGTTTTATACTATGGAGTGAAGATATTAACATTCCATTCGAAAGTGTCTATAAGTCTACTTAATTTAAAATATCTTTTCTTAATTTAAAAGCTGTATCTATGGTGTAAAAAAAGGCCTAGTGTACTTCGACTTCGGGCACCGATGGCTCATTCATCTCATTATTACTGACATTATAAAACTAGCTTCATAGCTTTAAAATGTCAAATAAATTAAAGAAAAAACATTCACTTTGTCCTTGGAAAACTGTTTCATACATGGCTATAGGTCGTGATCAGTTTACCAATTTAATATTGCGATGTAAAATTACAAAGTCGTAATGAAAATTTCTAGGTCAACCGGAAGTATTCTATAGGGTATGATTGCCTAGAGTGCAAAATATGTGGCATAAACGGCTGTAGCTTTTGATTGCGAGGATTTAAAAGTTTGTTTTTATCAACAGCTCTAAGGTATTGCTGGTCTGAATATTCGATATTAATTTAACTTGATGCCTCAGCTCCATGCATTACTGAGAAAAATGTCTAGCTTGACAGAGAGACAGGTGGACAATGAAGCGATTATATAAGAATTCCTTTTCTTTCCTTAAAAGTGTTAAAAAAGCCTGCATTTTCATAGATTTCCACACTTTTTCGATCCAAAACATGACCAGTCGCACCATGTGCTAATATAAGAAAATAATTGGCAATATATGAGATCCGAAGCAGAAAACTTATTGGTGCAGTAAGCATACCATAGTTAGAGAAATGGTCTTATATCAAGTAGTTTAATGTTCACGCGGAGATGTAACTGCAATATGGAAAATATTGCAGTTCTTGTAATACTTTCATATAGATACTTAGTAGATAAGTAATTATACGTAGATAATACTTAAAAATAGTACTAATACTAAAAAAAATCCATTTCTAAATAATGCACCAATGGAAAAATCTTCGTCAGGACTTCACGGTAGTCTACCGCTTCTTTATTATTTGTTCCAAGTAAAAAACTTTAAATAATCAAAAATTTGTAATTACGTTTATTATCAAGTTGTTATATACATTTTAATAGCATTACTACAGCGTCTAAATCCTGCTTGCCAATGCTAAATCACAATCATCTTATATTTCTCGTAAGTCAATATAAATATAAATGATTTAAGAAAGCTGTAAAGAGTTATTTTCATATACGCTGCAGCGTAGAAATCGTGCTTGCAAAAGCTAGCTCGATGTAAATATACAATTCGTAGAAAGATACACATAACAGCTGTGTCGACTAAATAAAACGCGAGCAAGTTTACAATCAACAATACTTTTTCTTACGTCAATAAAACTTTTTAATAACCGTATACGTTGCGGATTAGCAGACATAATCGCGGACGCGCTGAGCGGGAGAGCGGATTCTACATCGCAACGACGCGACGACGGCATAAAGGATAAAACGCTCGTTGGCAGCCAATAAAGGCGGTGCGCTGGCGTCGCGGGCCGGCAAGGGGCATAAATCAATTCGGCGTAGTAGGTATTGCGGGGCGCTGTTTGGTTTCGCACCTCGTGCGTCGCTCAATAAACCCGAGCCGCCGAGGACACCGTCCATTAAATATTAATGGGCCGGCTCCAATAAAATTGCTCGATTTGGAATCCGTTGTCACTATGCCCACGTCCAACATATTAAACTTTGAATTTGCAATGTACGCTCCGTACTATTGCCACATACTTAACCGATTTTACGACTCGGTTTGTTCACGGAACGTTTAATTCCAATATAGTTTTTAGTATTCGTTTAAAGTTAAGGGCATTTAGAAAGTGACCGTGAAAACGTTATAAACAGTAAAGGCCCTGTTCTAAATTCTATTTTTATACTCAGAAATATATTATATTACTAGTGCTTGTTTATTAGAAGCTCACGTACATTACGCAATTTGCATTTTTTACAAGTAATTTAAAATAGTACAAATTAATTGAAATAATATATGAGTTAAAACTACTATGAAAAGTATTATACCGAATAGTAACATTGCTACGGTTGCAATTAATTACATAGATAAGTTATTCATCATGAACAGTAATGAAACTATTGTTGAATTCGAAGCACGCCAAAATAAACAACTCGGACCACGTACGAAATATGTACAAAACGTTCAATAATCAAACCGAATCAGTGGAATATTAACATTGGTTGCTAACAATTTATAATTTTACTTTAATGGCTGGCCCGTCGTGGGTGGTCGCCGCGAGCCGGCCCACTAATTGGATAAATTGCTGAGTTAGGAGATACGATAAACAAAATTAAACAAATTGTTGCCCGGAATGGTATTATGTAACGACTCGCGCGGCTGGCGCGTAAATTGAGTGCGGCAGGCGATAGTTATCGTTTTTATTCAATTCATTCACAAACGGCATCGAATAGTTATAAACAATTTCGCAATATATGGGATACTCTGAAATATACTTATGTTCTACCATAGGAGCTAAGATGCTGTGTTCTCGATATTTTACTATGCTGGCTTTGAATATTCCTTCCATTAATACGAACATGATAAGAACAAAATACATGTTTTATATCAAAAGATTTATACTAATATCACTTATCAGAATATTTGATTAGACACTTAAGAAATGCCTGTTATGTTTCTAATAATAAATTTTCTATTAGTATATGTATATATATATATATATATGTATATATATAAATATATTTTTAAATAATCTCTTTGTATATGTATATAGTCTATGTATACTTACACAATCATTTAAAAGAAAACCTATAAAAAGTTATTGTCATATTATCCCGCTGCCAAACAACATTAAACACCTCACAAGCATATCTCAGATGGTTTAAGAGGAATTTAGGTTGAATTTAAAAGAAGTATAAAATTTTACGACTGTAATTTATTCACTTAGATTACCTCGACACGTTTTAAGTAACAAATGAGCTAGTATTAAATAGACGGTAATTTGCAGCTCAAGTTGTCTCCGTTAAAGCCCGCGTAAAGCATGTCATGGGCGCCAAAACGAAATTGAAAAGATGTGTCCGAGAATACGCTATATTTTAAGGCCTGACGCTTAAATTCCATTTAAGCGCCAAGCGGGTCCGAACTGGTTCAAAAGTACTTATAGCAATTAATAAACGAAGCTATAAAATTTAATTTGAAACATCAAAAAAAGCCAGCAACGCATCCGTATTAATTACAAAATTGTTGAATCAATTCGAGCTCCTACGACGTAGTTGCCATATAGACAAAAAAAGTACATTGCTTTAATTGCATTTTTCGCGTGGCCTATTTCGAACTCATTTTGAATCCCGAGTGCCCGTGCCCTTTGAGTGGCCGGATCCATTGAGTTGCTGCCCCTCGTATTAGAATTGATTTCCGAGTATCTTGATGCTGGTAGCGGCACCGTGGGTGGTCCGTTTGACGTCTCTATGCGCCGCTGTTCTGAGCCATGGACACGCATGTAAATGTCCTTATAATTCACCACATCTGCGCCAGGTCGTCGTAACGTAGGGGGAATATTATCCAGCGACAAGCGGGATACCATTTTACGTTTATAACTGAAAATCTGAAGAAATTAACAAACACAAATTTTGGTTTAAAGCCGACATCAGAGACATTAAACGTAAGTCCAACAATATACTGAATAAAAAAATTAACATAATCATGCCTGTTGTATGGCATATATGGCCCACTTAAATATTTTTTATTCTGTTTTATAGTATTTGTTGCAACAGAAATACATGTGTGAAAATTGCAACAGTCTAATAGTAATAAGACAGTGTTCATAAGATACAGCCTGGTGACAGACGAACAGCCTGGTAACAGACGAACAGCCAGACAGACAGACAGCTGAGTCTTAGCAATAGGGTGTCGTGTGTCCTTTGGGTACGGAACCCTAATAAGTTTTCCGAATTCGTTTTTTTTTTCAAACGTTGCCCTTACTTTAATACATAAATTTCACGTGGACAAAACACCCAGATGCGAAACTACTATCTGTGGGTCACACAAATAGTTGTCCCGTGTGGGAATCCAACCCACGCTCCTCGACGCCCAAGCCAATACCTTGCCAACTGCGCCACGGAGTCAAATTCTTTCGAATAAACACTGTATTTCCTCAGAAGTAAATTTATATATTAAAAAAGAAGAAAATAACTGCTATCCTCAACATTATCAGTGTTTTCATGGAGCTAGCTTTCAGTCGCATCCATAATGTAATTAAGAACAATGTGCCTTATCACTGGTACACACAAGTTTTTGCTAAGAACTTAATTGACATTTAAGTCATTATAATGGGTACAGTGGTCCGGTATCTTGTGGACTTTTTAATTTACATGCATAACTAGTAATGTTTGTATTATGCAAATGGACATCAACATGCTTATGTGTATGCATATTTGTTTTAAAAAGAACGTTATTGCAACGACTCTGTAATTATAACACGACAATACTGCCGGCTTATTTAAATATTTTAAAACGTTAAACATCAATTATCCCCAGTCGTCCGTCGCGATATGATTTTAGGGCTCTTACGAAGCATAAATAACAAAAATTTCGTAAGAGAGCTTAACACGACTCGAACGGAATGTCGCGACCGCGGCCATAACTTTTAACGCAAACACCGCGAAAGGTCACTAAAATCTCTTCTGTAGGCAACAAAAAGGCCTTATAAATAAAAACATAAATAGCCGTATGAAGAAATAAATTTGTTTATTGTACAATAAAATAATGTAGCGAGTCGTGCTGGGTGGTCCGCGCCACAAAAAGCCGGGCAAGATGGCTGCGCTCCTCCGTAGACACGTGACGCGTCCTCGCCTTTACTGTGAGCAGTATTATAATCATAATAAATTCAAATTCAAATTCAAATATTTATTTGCCATAAATAGGGTTACAAAGATGTTTAGGTACATGTCTGTCACTTTAACCTATTTAGCTGTTTAACAGCATGCAAATTTAGCTTTAGCAATTGAGTTGCCATGCAGTCATTCAGTAAAGAAAAATATAGTAATAGTATTTGACATCAATATAAAAAAAGAATAAACAATAAAATCAATATAAAAAAATAAGAAATTTTTGTCCCAGTAGTTATAAATGTCATTTCCATTGTCATACTCTAAGGAGTCTAATATAAAACTATATCAAATACTTTACATAACCTTACAAATAGTGTTATAATAACGATGTTCTGGTGTTAAAATACAAATATCTAAATAAAATATATAAAATTTGTCAAAATTTTTTAGAATTTAACTATCACAGTCACATCGCATAAAAAATTCAAAACATTGCAAATATTCAAATGAAAATAATTTGTTAATAAATTATAAATTGTCAATAATTAATTAAATATAATATCATAACAATCATATTATAACATTTTTCTGTTCTGTCATCAGTGACATGTCTCCTTCTTCTTCTTTTTATTAATGGCTTGCTTTGTGAGTTATCACAATTACGCCAATGTCAAGTTGTTCTTAAAATTCTCAATTTTATAATATTCACATTAAAATTGTAATAGGCAAATAAAAACTTCAAAAATCCATAGTGACATGTCTCGTAGTTTTTTAATTTTATGTTTATTTCTTTTAATTCGTCAAAACATGCTTCCAATTGTCATTACAACTGAGAGTAATTTACCACTCTTCTTAATTAAATAAATTCTTTGATATTATAAATGTTATTTTCATTCAGCCATTCATACAACTTTTTTTTAAGCAATCTGCTACTTGCTATTTTTATTTCATTAGGTAGTTTATTAAATATTTTTATACACATTGCTATGCAACTATTGTTATATTTTTTTAATCTTGGTATGTCGTCAAGAATAAGTCTGTTTGGGTCCCTTCGATTGCGTGGATAAACTTCGCAATTTTTTAAATAGGTACATATGTTTGTGCACAAACATACCGATTTCGAAGACATAAAGCGACGGCAGCGGTAGAATACCATTTTTTTAAACATTGTCTGCAGGACTCCTGAGGTGAAAGACCATAATATTGCGCGAATATATTTTTTTTGGGCAACAAAAGCTCTATTAAAATCTGTACTGTTACCCCATATTGTGAGCCCATAGCGTAATATGGATGCTACATAGACGTGATAACAAATCATAGCTATTTTCATGTTTGTAACATTTCTAATTTGTTTAAGAGCGTATACAAATCTATTAATTTTATTACACACTGTATCAACTTGCTTTTTCCAATTCAAATCCTGGTCTAAAATAATTCCTAAAAATTTGGTTTCCGTCACTTCTTTAATTTTTAAAACGTTGAGTTTTATATTTATTGTCGATTTGCTATTTTTATTAAATTATATGAATTTCGTTTTATCCAGATTTATTTTTAAATTATTCGTATGTAACCATTCCATTAATGTGTCAATTGTATTATTTATGTCATGTTCGTGATCTGTAATTGTATTATTTTCTTTACTTGAGGTCATTATGATTGAAATATCGTTGACAAAAAGAACAAATGTGTGATTAATTATGCCTGTGATGTCATTAAGATATAGAAGAAACAGAATTGGGCCTAATATACTACCTTGTGGACTCCATACTTAGTATGCCTATAACTGGAGGTGTAGTTAGTTAATTCATTGT